ATTTATCTGTCACTCCCACTCCTATTCTTCCCTATGTCATAAATTTCCCACAAATTACTTTCTCTTTTCTCTGAAATATGTGCTGAAGCGAATAGAGCTCGAATATTAAATTTTATTTATTTAAAATAATGAAAAGCGAAATAAAATTATTTTGCATCTAAAATTGATTCCGTATTGGAACACTGTACTTATATCATCCAGTTCATTAAAAGCGAATGTTAGCTGCACAACTCAATGTTTAACATAAAAAATATAAAATCATTGATCACAATAATACTGGTCACGTAAGTTTATGAAGTGTAGTCCAGCAACTATGTAGAATCGGAGGGGGGTACAATCCCTCATAAAATACGAGTGATGAAATGTTTTCATATTGAGATTTTGATGTGTATTGTGCTTTTGATGTGCTTAGAAACCAATCTGTATGTCATTTCTTTATATCATGTTTCAGGTATGCGCTTGGGATACATAGAGTCGAAAGTTGGACTTGTTCATACTCTGCTGCAGTATGAAGTCTTTCCCAGCCCTGCCACACCGAGTCGCATACCGTCGACAAACTCTCCGCCGTTCAATATTCCTGCGTGCGACGTGCCGCTGCGTTTTAAGAAACGCAGCCTATGAAATGCCGTTTCTGTGTTTTATTTGAAACAATATGCTAGTAGAAAAACACTATTTAATTCTATTAAATAGAATAAGTATAATTAATGACGTTCGCGATAAATTAAAAAAAAATTCTGATCCTTTTTAAAAAGGCGAGAATACATTTATAAATATACAAGATAACATACGTTAATCCATTCCTAAAAATAAATAATTGTTATTATTAACATAAACATTATCATTATTAGCAAAATAATACATTTCAACAGTGTGGATATTTTATTAAGTGTATTGTGACGTTAAATCAGGCAGAGATCAGGCAGACTCGTCTCTCATTTAATGCGATATTCAAAATTAGGCCCAAATCAAGGGAACTGTGGACGCCCTGAAAATTTCAAATGGTCCCCCGGAGCACGAAGAAATAAAACATTTTATTTCGGAAAAAAATATACTAATTCTCCCCTTACGTAATATGAATTGAGAATTGACACACGCCCTTTGGGAAACAATGTCCACTCTCTCTCGCGGGTCGGGATGAAACCCATCGGTTGACAAGTTGGTGGTACTGGCACACAGCCATCAACACCACCATATCGGAGATTTAGTGCGGCCAGTTAGTCAGCCGTATCGCGGTGCGGAATGGCATTGTCGCATTCCAATCTTATATTTCCTGAAGGTAGCAAGTTTAGCGCGCGATATTAGATTATGGAAATTTACACCAAACTAATAATACTTTTAAAGTATTTACATACAAAAACTTAATCAACAAATTTGGAGCCTTTTTCGAGATACAAATTGTTTAAACAAAATTAAAAATTACCTATATTTCTCGAACGAGTCTTGCACGAAAAAGTACTCAAATTTTCGGAAAAGTACACATGAATTGAATTGATTATATGGCTGATTTTACGTGGCGAGACTCGAACCATGACGCCCGCTCTTCCGTCTGACCACGCAAATTTCTTAGAGGTATTTCTTAGGCGATTTGAATTTAGCTCAGAGGCTTCATTTAGGCGTGAGGTTATTTTTACATGCAGTAAATCTACAAACATAGAACAGCCGGCATTACTTCCCCTCATATGGTAGGGTTGAACCCGCGAACTTTGGTATAACAGTCCGATACGCTAACAGTTACATCATCGCCGCCGCTACCATGACCATATTTCAAAATAAACAATGTGTTATTCAAAATATTTTTAAATAACACATTCCATAAAGGAAAAAACAATACCGATTTTCATTTTTTTTATTTGGAGGAAGATGGAGAAAAAATAAACTTTCGCAATTTTCGAAAAGTTTGAGATTTCAAGCGAAAATACATCTGTACGATTAAATGTCCTTCACACTATCCAATGATAAAATTTAATCAAAACATTCAGTGCAATTTTCTACAAAATTTTGATAATGTTCTATGCTTACCATAATATATATATATATAATATATATATATATATATATATATATATATATATAATATATTTTCAACCGATACCCACCTACACCCACAAACAGTAGCAGGGCATGATCGTTAAGCGGGTTGTACAAGATTTTGCGTCGTGAAGCGAGTTTAAAATCTAGGGAGACAGGATCTTCAGGTGCGAGAAAGGTTTAACCCTTGACACAATAAAATTCACACAGATTGCACATAAACGAGCGTATAATTTACCATAAACTTTTAGTGCATAAGTTAATGACAAACCAAGAATATAGAATCACACTTTTACAAAGAATTAATCAAAACACAAATAGAAACATTTACAAACACACTCACTGAATGAACACATAATTACTCAAGATTGGTACTCTGACGTAATTACCCTAAACTACACTGAATTCCCTTGGAAAATTAGTTATATCTAAATTTGTCTATCCTAATAACATTTCACATGAAATCAAAATTCAATTTTACAATCTCTCTTTTCAAGATATTACATGAAGAACAAATGTGTGCAAGTGCACTACTCTAATTTACAATTTAACTGTGTCTGAAAATAGCGAAATAATAAATGTCCTAAGTAGAATGTTTTTAGGCAGGCAATAGCGCATCAAAACCGTTTCCTACTAGAATACTGTGATTTGTTGCCACCCGTGTCCTCAAATTCTTTAACACTTTCCTATACACTGTTTTCCCTGCCGACGTGAACTTGACCTATTTTACTGCGATCCTAACTGTTACTCTGTAGACTTTTGGCCTTGACGGTCGTGCGCTGGTCGCGCGGTGACGCCGCTCGTTCCCAACCTCTGCGTTGTAAGAGAGACGGGATTCGCCCCTGCGTCTGCGTGCCCTTTCCTGCTGCTCCTCTTCCGTTCTTCTTCGTTTCGATCCGTCTTCTTTCCTCGTGCGCCAAGTCCTCGGCTCTTCTTTCTTCCTCGTCTGCTACCAGTGCCCTCTGACTACGCCCACGGTTATGCGAAAATGTCCCTTGCACCTTCACTGAATACCCGTGCAAGTTCCTCGCGCGTTGCTACTTCTACTTTTACAAGCCAGAACTTTTAATATTTCCTTTCACAGCGGGTAATTTTTACTTCCCGTGTTGTTAATTGAAGAAACACTACTTAACCTGCACTATCTCGCGGGACGACTAACTAGAACGTCTGTTCGACGCCGAATACTCCTACCTAGTAGTAGTTGCAGCGGCAAACAATATCTTAATGTTTAATGAAAATGTTGACTCGTCGAACGGTGATCAAAAGAGCAGTTGCTTACTCGACGCGTGGTGACCAGAAAAAGAGAGAGCTTCCGCTTGCGGCGTTCGCGTATTTATTGCGCGCGCCGGCGGCTGGGGGAATTCTCCGTGATGGGGGGTTGCTTCCCCTCTTTCAACCCTTCAAAAGAAAAACATAGCTCGCTAGGTCGCATCGTTAGTACGGGCAACGGATACCAGGCCGCGCGTTTAAGTACCTCTGCCTTACACGCCTGTTATCCACGCTGGTTCCGTAGTGTTCACACACGAGACGGTGGTATATGGGGTTTGCACAATCCCATAACGCCACTATATTATAATATATATATATAATATATATATAATATATATATATATATATTTGATATTTTGATCATGATTTAGGCTTATATTTACGTATTTTATATTGGAGAATTACGATTAAATTTTTAAGATAAGTGGGAAGGGAGAGAAAGTTTTGTATTTAACTACACACTTAAAATCAAATAGTTTTACGAGGCTGATAAAAAATATAACAATCCAATAAACAAAATGAATTTGCAATGAGTAAATTAAAAAAGTCAACCAATGGATGTTATTTTAAACAAATAAAACTAGGATTCATCTACTTGTATATATTTTATTTGATTAAAATACAAAAGCAACTCTCGCCAGATTACATACGTTCATTGTTTCTACATTTGTAGTTAATCATTCTTGAAAATCCTCATTATTATTTTAAAATTTTAATTAATGTGTTTTCGAAATTTCAAAGCTTTCAACAGGGATTGAGTAATAAATTACGAGTCCCTAAGGATAACAGAAGAGTGGGCCGCCTATAGTACTGAAATATTCAACATTGCGTAATAAATATGAAAGTGAAAACAAAATATAATCATGATTTCAAATTTTTAAAAATATAAGAAAATATTTTGAACTTTTATGAACTATAATGAAATTCTTTAAGAGGGAGATGTATGCTTAGAAGCTATCCACCTCTCTTCTGTCTTATTAAAAGAGACACTTCACGCTCTTAGTTTTTCATCAAGCACGTCGGGGGAATTTCTTCGAGCGTAGGCATTCCAAGGATCCGCAGTCCGATTCGTCTCCTCTTTCAAATCTCTCAGCTGTACGTTGTAGCGAAGCTTGCAAAGCCCTTCCTGCGAAGAGGTCAGTTCCACTTTATAAAACTCTTCCTGAAATCTGGCACACCGTATCTCCAAAAACATCGGTGAAAAAATTTAGTTCCGGCACATGACGTTCTTAATTTTCGTCTCGTTGACGCACTTTCTGGCGCTGCGTCATGAACCGGAAACCGGCGGGCAACGCTCCACCGGCACGCAAAGGGTGGCTATTTCCGATTGAGAAACGCTTGCTGCTTGTCGAGGACGAGATGCTGCCGCGGTGAGCAAGGCCCGCGGCCAACAGTTCGTAGCACTTTCCGTCCTCCCCGAAGGCCACCTGGCCGTTGCTGAAGCACCAACTCTGCGCGGCGCAACACCGGAGGTCGTCGACGGGCAGGCGGGGGAAGAAACCCGAGCTGAGGTCCTTCCGGAAGTTGGGGAAGCGGCATTCCCCCGTTGGGGGGGCTGCTGAACGTAGCTGGCGGCGGGGCAGCGGGCTCCGTCGCACACGCACTCCTACCCGCCGAAGAAGTAGCCAGGCGGACGCCCCGGCCCGCACGTCGCACAACTCCCCGAACACTGCTTGCCCGAGTAGCAGCGGGCGTCCACCGCCATGCGAAAGCGGCGGTCGGGGCAGCGACCGGGGTCCGCGCACACGCCCACCAGCCGGCCTCGGCCTCGAACTCCGCCTTGTCCAGGAGGAAGACGGCGGGGGCCGGGCGTCTGCTTGGGCGCAAGGCCCGCGGCTGCCCACGCGGAGAGCACTTGCCCGACGCGGCGTCCAGCAGGCGGTTGTAAGCGCAGGCACTCGCGCTCGTCCTCCGAGCAGCGCACGCGCGTGCCCAGCAGCGAGTCCTTTGGCGCGGAAGAGGTGCGGCTCGGCGGGCGGGGGCGGAGGCGGGGCGGTGCGGCGCCGCCGCGGACAGCGCACGCCGCCACGAGGGCCACCAGCAGCAGCGCGGGCGAGCGGTGCGGCCGGGCCATGGCAGAGGGCGCGGCGCGGCGCGTGCGACTCGTCTTCGCAGCGCGCGGCGGCCTCGGCGATACAGCCCACAGGTTTCCGCCCGTGTCCCGCAGCTTCCTGCCTCCTCCTCGATAAGCGCGCGTCGCTCCGCCGCCAGGGCCCTCCAGCGCGATAATAAGGCATTTTGCAATCGGGTTGCATCATAGAACACCAAGTAAAACCCATTCTCTCTAGTTACGAAATATATATATTTGAAATCATCTCAAAATTATATTACACCTTCTTTTGTCGCCATGGGTAGTCGAGTTCGCGAAGGTTGAAGTGCCGCAGGCCCAGCTGCGACGTGTCTGAAGTGTGGCGGTTTCGAATCCCGTCTGGGGCAGCATGCATGTTTGTGTGTCCGTTACCGTTATCCCCAATGTATCCTACAGCGGTCGCTATATTACCTTAGTACTCAAAAAGTGAACTTAATAACGTTAAAAAATTAAAACTCCTTAATTTTTGTTAAAAGAACATCACACAACTTTGATTTTTTCCCGACGAGTATTGATTATTTCTGTAAAAAGTAATGTAAAGTGTATACCAGTGTAAATACCATCCTATAAAAGATATATCGCCAGTAACAAAGATCCACGAGATTAATACATAACTTTCTACATTACACATTTATTTCAACACAAATGTTCAAAACGAATTGCTTTCTTTCAGATTTCTTTCGGTTAATGGAGAATCAAAAGATAGTTCAAAACGTTTATGAAAATGTTAACTGGATCGTGTACATCGACGACTACTAAACTAATAAGCGTTCGTAACTAAAAATTAAGAATCTTTACAAAATTACTAGTCTTATATTTCCTCTTACTGAATACATATATTTTGATCAAATAAAGTCCTTGCTTGGAGAGGTTCACAAATAACATTTGAAATGGTATATTTCTTCCCTCTGGACATATTTCGATGTACAATTTAGTCGATAAACTTCAGTTACATTCAAATTTATCCTGCTCCCCATTTGCCAAAGGCATCCGATAAATTCAGCTAAACATTACTGTATAAACGAGTTAGAGAATCTACAATGTCTAAACAAAGTAATCGCTCTTTTCAATCCCTTGTTCTTCGCGCAGATTGTAACATTGGTTTTCTGCGTGAAACTTGAAAAAGAGACGTCTGTTAACACACTAATTCATTCTTAACTTCACGGATTACTAATGAAGACCAGGTTTACGTCTTACTGCATCTTTTGTTTGGTAATTTGAAATTGAGCGACACATTGACAGAAATTTGAATCATAAAACGGATATTTGAACCATGTTAGTAGTTGTTAATAAATCAAATCACATTACTACTAGTACTATATATACAGAGAAGAAAATACGTAATATAGGTAAAGTTAAGTAATGCTGCGGAAAATCGATTTCGAGATTTCAACGGAAATAGACATTTTGGGCTCCCCAGATATCGAAAAGGTGTTTTTTAAAACATCCGTCAGTCTGGTGTATGTAAACAACACTAAAGCCTAAACTATGCGTAGGATTTTTTCCAAATTGAAGAAACCCTTGTCCATTGGCCTGAGTCGAAGTTCTGCTGATTTGAAAATCATTGATTAGTTTTTGGGAGTACTTTACATGAAGTCCTTGGGTCATTTTCAAATTTTTCTTAAAAACGGCTCCAAATTTTTCCTTAAATTTCTTCTAAGAATATGGAAAAACACACTTATAAAGGTGGCATAGGTCCGATTTTCACGGCTAACTCTGAATTTTCGAAAATTTCAAAGGTTGGATTTTTTGGGGGGTCTTCCAACAAAATTAAAAATAGAGGTTTTTCCGTCAAATTAAATTCATTGTCCATAATTTGATATTTCGGTAAAGCCATGTACATTTTTTTGAAAAATTTAATAGTTTTCGCGCAAAATTGCGTGTAATAAACAAACACATTTTTTCAAACACGGCTTCACATTTTTTCTTTAAACTTTTGGTAGAGATGGCACTAAATGCACTCTATAAGATGACATAAACGCCATATTGCTATATTCTATTGTTTTTTCAAATATTACAGAAAATTAATTTTTACCCGTCTCTCACGTCATTAATATTTATATTAGCGGCAATTTGTTCACATATTTGAGTACATGTGCTTTAAATAGTATAATAAAGATTCTAGAAAACAACCGTTTTCTGTCAAAAGTAGCTCAAAATCTCACATTTTTAGGAACGCTCCAAATATTTTTTTCACGCACCATTTTCTGAAAAACGGCTCCAAATACTTTTTTCAAACTTTTCTAGTTGATAGTGATAATTGCACTCTTGAATATGACATAATGTTCATTTTGAGTTTTGTTTTCGAAAATTACACAAATGTAAATTTTTTTGAAAGATTTCTCACGCCCTTAATATGTACATTTCTAGCAATTTGCAAAGTCTATTGAATTTATGCGTTAAAGTGCTTCAAATTAATTTAAATTATTTTTTCGAAAACTCAATAAAAAAGAGCTTCAAATTTCGAATTTACTGAAGCGCTTAACGGTCTTTTTCGCAAAAATTGCTCCAACGTTTTAAAAGAAAATAGCTTCAAGGACAAGGTTTTACTGATGTTAAACTAGTATTTCCGGTGTACTAGTTGGAAACCGAAAAAAATGTACACGAGCGGCGATAGATGGCAGCTAGCAAGAATATGAGGCAAGTTCGAATACCTAGCCGAGACTGAAAGAAATAGAAAACTAATAGGGAAAGTCTGATCCATTCTGTAACACCACTAGTTTGATTTTTTCATCGGTTTTCTGGTAATAGAACCGAATCATTATTTTAAGCATATTAAAGAAGAGTAAAACCTCGTCCTAAAGGGCAATTTTCATTGAAAGTTTTGGAACCTTTTTTAAGAAAATGTTGGATATGTATTAATATTTACTCACAATAAAAAACGACAATATTATCTGATATCAATTATACAGTTTTCTAAAAGGAGCTTTTTAAAAGTGAGTAATGATCCTGTCAAATGTTTCTAATAGCGCTCTGCAGGACAGTATGAAACTATACTTGAGAAGCCGTCAGTTCATATCATTCAACTTAACTCGTTACTTGGAAAGTACGATACATTACATTTTATAGAATTCAACCACTGTCTAGTTATTCCGGAAAAAATTGAAAAATACGAAAACAAGAAATGAAAACAAACATACGTACCTTAAAAGAAGAAAATGAAGCCTGCCACTTTTTTGCCTTTAGGTTGTGAAGTTCAGTAATCTTCTTGCTTTGGGCTTCAATATTTAAATGTTATATCCTAATAAATATCCTACTCCTAACGTTTACTACTTGAGGATGTAAAGATGGAAATTTCTGTGACAAAATTTTGCAGTGTCCGTACCACATTACAGGCTTTGCAAACTCAGTGCTGTCCATTGAATTGTGAGACAACTCTTTTACCTGACCTCCACCCGAATGATAAGAAACCAACTCCATTTGTTCATTATCTATGTCAAGAGAACAATCGTATGGTTTACTTCTCTGAGCCATGTACCCAGCTATAGAGTAGACTTCAGTTGAACATTCCGAAGTGGATTCCGATGGAGATGATACAGGATAAGATGTGAGATATACATTAACACCTACAGGAGAAGAGGGTGGTCGTAGGTTCGTCCTACTGCTCTTATCTGAGAAAACAAATTTTCCAGGCAGTCTTGATTCATCGAGATGTAAGGGTGTATTTGATGTTGTAATTGTTTTCAAGTTCGTTGTGATAATACACTGAAATTATGTATCCATTTTGGAATGGAAGTAAGGTGTTTCTTTTATCAAACAGCATAGTCACACAAAATGATTTCAGTAATTGTTCTTGAGCTTGCATTTGCATTACAAACGTAATTTCAACAAGAAAATAAATTCAAGGGCTCTGAAATTGATGATCATGTCAAACACATAATTTACTAATTTGAAATTATATATTTCATGAGAAGGTATTACCTGAGCATCATGATTAGACAATGGCAAGCAATATGAACTTTTTGACGTTTAATTCCCAACATTTTGATATGTCAATTTTGGGCGTAATTAAACTTCTCCGCAGTTTTCACATAATTCGGCATGTTCGCAAAATAAAATAAAATTTGTTCCTTAAGCTAACAAACCACGTTACAAATATGCACTCCAAAATACCATCTTTTTTACTGACACTAAAAACGTGAAGTTAATGATCTATAATGTAAATCCCGATAATGTATATATTTTCGATATCACCAATACTCCACAAAACGCGACCACACCGCAAACACGCACCAATTTTTCACATAGCTTCCTCGACTGACGAAGTAGCAATAAATTTGAAATAGTTTAGAAGTATTTAACATTAAAAAACGGGTAGTTGGGAGAAGTGCAATCCGAGCGGAACCACGAGTACTAAGTCATAGCTTAAGGCGCGTTAATACATTGTTGGAACATAGCAGTCTATGGTAATGTGTTATAGAACGATTTTCTTAAGAATGGGATAAAGTGAAAGTTCGCGAAACAAGTGAACATCACGTGTACTTCAGAGAAGTATCCCTCCGCCGCGTCAGCTGTTTAGTTACGCCCCTCCGTCGTGTTTGTTTACGGTTCACGCGGGACATCACTTAAGAGATGTCTGAGTTTCGCTTAGTTATATGCACGTATGAGAGTCCGGGAAATATAGAAATTTATTTACATATGTGGGAAAATGTCTTAACGTGATCTTACATTCAATAAAAGAAAACTACCACGAATGTAAATAGAAAGAAAATTTATTTTTTAGGGGTCTTTCAAATACCTTTTCTGGACGTTTTACAGCAAATGGCTTATCCACTTTTTTAGTGAAGAGGATGGTTTATAATTTTAACACCCCGACTATCAAAACTTGGTACTATGCTCTCATAACTCAAATGTCAAGCACGATATCACGAAAAGCTCCTAAACACAGGTCGCCAGTCGCCACACAGCACAGATGCCGGAAACACGTGCACCGTCACGAGTACGCATCACACATTCACGACTAGATTTTAAAACAAACTTGATACTTCTCACATAAAAACTAAATTCAATGTAATTTACACACACACACACACACACACATATATATATATATATATATATATATATATATATATATATATAAAATTTACAGCAGAGCACAAAGCTCTGCACTTCCTAATTTCAATTATTTCTCGTGGCGCACTATATTTTCGTCGGACGAGAACATCACAACAGGGAGCGACGAAACTATTTAAAAAGTTAGTCAACTGCAAACAAACGAATGGAGGAAAGAGACTAAGAAGTTCAAGGACACAACGACCACAGAATCGTCAGTTGTGTTGCCAGCACTAGCTGTCTAATCATCCCATCCTAAAAAAATCGCACAATATAAGTTCCATTTTAACAAGTGATTTATTGCAAGACAAGTTTTTGATACTTGCAAACTTTGAAGATTTAATTGTCTGTTGTTTTATACTTTCTCGAGCTCAATCTTATAACTTGATAATGTACCATTATGAGCGTCGTAATATATCAATAGTAAGAATCTAAAACCAAGAATATTGTGTTAACAGTTGCTAATTCATTGTTCGAGGCCATACCTATAGTCACCAAAGTTAAATTGTGTTTACTCCAAATCTTCAATGCTTGCACATTTTTGGTCGCTTCGAACTGGATCTTAAATGGTCGGCGTTTGTTTATAAAGGACATTTTTAGTTCCTTCGAAGAGGAATTGATTACCAAAATTCTTTGGACCTTTGAAACAAGTATTGAGAGGTTTTTTTTGTTGCTCTTTTGAAGGAATTTTGTTCCTTCAAGAGCTGGATTTACAGTAAGGTTTGCTATTTAGAAAACTTTTGCTTGCATTGCTATTGTAATAAGATTTCTGAGTGTTCCTCGGAATAAACTATCCCAAAGCATCTTAATCCTTCAATTAGTCACAACTCACGATCTGACAGCATCAAGACCTTCCGACATTCCAGTAGTACTAGTTATGGCGAAAAGATGGGATCAATAATAACATTTTCCTGATTAGAAAGCGACACTTGAATATACATTTTTCCTTCATATTTACTTATTTTTAGTTAGTGATCTGTTACTGCGCCCATAGCCGACCTGTTCTTACCTGATCTGCGGACCCCTAGATGATTAGCCAGATTGGGAGATGTTTGATCTTACGTTCTAGTTTCCTGGATAGCACAGCTGAGAATCCACTAACTTTTTTCTGATTGAGGAGTAGCATTCACCTCTGTTGATAAGAATGAACTTTCCTTCCTCGGGACAACAGCATACAAACAATACAAGAGATGCACTAACTAGTTTATTCTAACCACCCATTACATTCTATCCAAGAAACCCATTCATAATTATCAGAATGACCTGTATATCCACAAAATAATTTTGTGCACGGAAGTACCTCTTTTGTAAAATAGGCATTTGCTGCAAGATTTCTTTAATACTTTAAGTGAGTTCTATGGATACATTGGATTCCATTGGATAAGAGATGGTCATAATTTGTTTTATTGTTGGTATACTTTTATCGGGCATAACTGCTTACATATTTCTGAATTTTTAGGTCATTAAATACACGCTCTCCTAATTAGTGGAGCTCCCTTAACACCTCAATCCTGCCTACAGTTAACGAATGTTGCTTCTTATAAGAGGACGTCGTGCCAGCATCGTAATGACTTACGTAAAAAGAATTCAATTACAATGGATAACAACAGGAAGTCTGTAAATTCATGTCTGGGTGCAGTCTTAATGTAATAACAAGTTTATAATACAGGGAATATGTAATAAGGGAATTAAAAATAAATTACAAATCAACACAACTTTATTGTCAGATTACACAATGTTACACATTCAGGAATTTATCGTACTACTAATTTCAATCATTTCTGTTTAGAACATAAAATACTGTCAACCAGGAATTCATAAAACTTCTTTAAATAAAGTGATCATTGTGTACTTAAAAATGTGATACAACCATCAGTTACTATCATAACATAAATTTTCTTAAAAATAGTCATATGAGGTGTTTGCTAAAGAAACCAACTCATTTTATTCGAGAATATTATACAAGAGAAACAAAAATCGTCTCTTGTACACATCTGGTTTGACATTATTAAGATAAGATCTCGCCACATTGTAGGCGGAAGTAAGCACGATTTGAAATATATTCCTTGATGGGGTTACGAAGACTAAAAAATAAAAAAAAGAATTGAACAATAAAATGAATTTCGGTAACAAATGGAATGAGCTGATACAAGGAAATATCTCACAACACAAATTATAATTTTAACTACATGTTTAAATGTACACCAATATATTTGAATAAATGGTGAGAGGCTCGCACTGTCAGCCAAATAATGTACTAGTTTTAGTTCCTCGGCGATAAAAATGCTGGAAAATCAGCGGTGTGCACACTTTTAACAAATTTAAAGACAATTTTGTTAAATCAACTAAAGTTTATTTAATAAAAGTTTCACGCTTTACATTCTACTTCTGTCAAGACACTCACTTTCGCTGCACCACAGCAGTTTTCTGGTAGACAACTTTACACAAATCAATGTACAATGACAGGAGTTCAGTTTACAGGTACTTTTATAACAATCCAATCACCTTTCACCTTATTTCTTCATAACCTTACTTAGCATTTTTTGTTTATACACAACGATTAAACGCAGTATTTTTCACAGAACTTGTCCATCAGTCTATTCAAATCTTTAGCCCAAATGCAAAAAATTAAATGACAAGCTTTATCCTTAAAATTTTCTTGCGATTGTTATTTTACTATTATATGCTAACAAATATGGGGAATACCCAGTCTATCAAATCATTAAGGGATTTTAAAACTTGATTCAAGAGCCTTCCTAGTCTTTTTATAAATGTCATTACCGCTGAATGAAAAGCTATCAAAGTCAACATCTTCGCTAAATACATTGAAGCTCTAGTCCCGAAAAAAGCTGAAGCTCAACACGGACAACTGAAAGCTAATGAAGAGAGATTTATGAGAGGAAGAGTCAACAGCGAGATCTTCGTGATGCGACTCAATTGAACACAATAATACAAGGTGGTCTTGAATCGTCTCGGAGTCCACAATATCGAAAATTGACACTAAAAATCAGAGCGATTTATCAATACATGATAATTAATTTAACCTGGTTTAAGTTCCGATCTAAACGAGCATGAAGAAAGTCTAGTGGTGAAGTGCGCTTCCCCCGCATGACACTTCATTGTCCATTACAATGTTGTTAAAGAAATTCTCCCTTGAAGATTTCTTACAAAACAGGGCGATTTTGCTTCATAGACAAATTTAGCAAGAAATAAAACACCTTGACAAATATCAGAGCGAGGGAGGGAGGGATGGGGTATAACTGTTGTGATACGAATAACCATCTGGCAAATTCTTCGTAAACAAGAATACATCATTCTTCTTTGACAAAGTGCGCCGCAATAAGGAATGGCGGGCTGCTCAAATTCTACAAAAGAAAATAATTACCTTACCGGGCCACAGAGTCCCATCTTGGTCGATGGAATGCATTTATAATGATATCCGCTTTGAGGATTTTAGAACAAAATACCAGTAAGTTTTTCAACTCTGAATTTAAAATACCTAAAGGAAACATCTCTACGGTGACCACCCGTTTCCACTACGACGAAAAACGAGGCACATTTCTCACCAGACACGAGACAGAGTTACGCTTAAGTTCAAAGAACGCGCGCCTCATCACAAGAGAAGCGTCAGAACTTAACAAAAGGGTTCGCTAGAGTCGAAAACAGACTAAACGATCTCTTGCCCTAGCAAACACCAGCTTTTAGGTAAGGACCGAGCGACCGGAACACTCGTGGCCAGGGGTGACGAGAGGTTAATGTACAAAGCAGCCTGACGACTTCTGGAACACATCTGGACTCTTCACATACACTATGATAATTGAATTATTTCAATATATATTTATATATTTGAAAAGATCTTTATTTATTTACGTCAAAAACAGTTATGACGTGCTATGGGGAGAAGTTAATTTGAAGTTACATTTATGTCCATTAGCAAAAGAAGGGACCATCTCAGCATTTGCTCGAGGATCAGGGAAACTGGACGAAAACCTGATCGAGATGGGGGTCATTGCCCCAGAAGCTGAAGTACAATAAGCACAAGCTGAAGTACAATCAAGCAATACAATCAAACATTCATTTAAAAGAAATGTGTATAACGTGAATTTACGAAAGGGTTGAAAGTGGAGCACGCGTCTGTAACGTACATCTGAAACTTATACATGATTGTTCTTTTTCTTTCAGTTTATTTTGTTTCTATAAATTGGTATGATTATTCACCATTACATTGGTTTATTTCATACCAGTCTTTACCTCATAATTGAAAGAGTAAAGAAAAGAAATACAAGTATTTGGATACGCGAGCAAACGCGGAGCAGTGAACTACCCGGCTGCCTGATAGTAAGACAACTTCTCGATAGACTATGTTGAAACTTTGTGTTTTACGAATGCCTGATAAATATATCCAGTGATTAAAGTATCCGGTAAATAATCTGGAGATTAGAGAGGCAGTTAAATGTTTATTTGGTAGAGAACTCCAAAGTAACATAATTTGTGAGAACTTGCTGTGAATTTAAAAGAATAGCTGTGGTATTTCCGTGATGGACAGCGTAATAGACGACGAATTCTTTGATGGTTTAGAGCGCCCGCCCAGATGACATGTCGGCCAGGATATTTTGAGATCCTTGACGAACAAGATTCCAAATCCCGTTTTAGGATAAGGAAGCCTACGGTTAGCAAAGCTACCACTGATAGAACAGAAAATAAAAACAAATGACTTGTGAATACCGACTTATATTTCTGTAATGTCCTGATTAAGTAATGACCCTGTTAAATTCATTCTATGTCAAAACAATAAAATGAATACTTAGTGTTTTGTTAGCAATTCTGAGGTATCACCAATGAACCGACTACTCACTCTGCGTTATTTTGCAACGGGATAATTTTTTATCGTAATTAGACTTCATTAAGGTGAGCAATCTATTGCTTCAAGTGTTAGTGAGTTCGCGAAGTCTCCAAGGAATATAGAAATCCCCCAAGAAGATTTTTATGAAATTGCAAGAGTTTCTAGAGTTTTTGCACTCATCAAACATCATTAAACTTTGGACAGTTATAAGATTTCCTTAATCTCTTTTCAGAATGCAACACAAAACAAGGAATGAAGGGAAAATCACCTCACATTTCCATTAGCAAAGCACATTCGAATTCGCACGTACAGAGCGCGTTTGACTCGCAAATGCGGCGTTACAGCTGGTGAAAAGAATCAGCAAGATTATTTATCACAAAGATATGTTCAAGATATTTTAACAAGAAAAGCCTTGGGGAAACGAAAAATAAATATCAGACACTTTCATCTGACATACGTTATTTGCCGGATAAGTATTCGGAACTTTATCAGACACCGGAGAAACAGGCCCTCAATCTTTCTTTTTGGGAAATTGTACTCTAGTATTAAAAGCTGTCATTAGTAAAGACTTACTGATTCATAGATGTGTGTAGGTGCGAGACAAAGTAAAATACTTTGTTACTTAATGAAAGTGGTTGTAGTAGTAGTGTGGAGCATCAAAGAAAGTGATTGTGATTAAGGAGAGGTGTACTTATTAAGAGAAAGCATCCACCATAATCTTGATTTGACTTTAATATCTGAATTTAAAAGAGAGCAATTATCTTCAGAAATTATTTAAATCCACCAAAATCTTTAACTTCTTTTTATACCAAACTAAGAAGGTTCTATTTTGGAATGATGTAACACTGGGTGAAAGTTTATATACTAGATGTGTTAAGCTGGCTTTACACTAGAAAGAAAACGGCGAGCAATATAATTTCGCAAGAGAAGTTGCCAATGTAAACATCGCGGCAATAAATATTGCTGATGTTGGCAATACTTCTTGCTACTTGTTCCGAGCGTAGTGTAAACTCGTGTGTTTCCGTTGTCGGAAAGATATTGCCAGTTGCTGCGACTTGAAGCGAATTGGAGTCTGGGCAAGATATTGCGGAAATACGAGGACGATGCCTACTCCCACGTGCGCAGAAGTACAAATAAAGTAAGCATTAGATATTATTAATATACATTATTTTGAATTGAAATGGTGTTCTGTTCACAATAAAATGGATTAGGAAACATTCTAAACCCTCTGTATTTGATTATCAAGTGGTTCTAATTTTGGTTGAGGTACACGTAGCCTTTAATTATTTATTGTAGACAGGCAAAATTTGGTTTGCACCAGTATTTACAAAAATTATTACTAAGTTCAACATATCACAGAGTAATGTGTTTGCTCCTTCAAGTAAATCAGCTAAAATAAATGGTAACAAAACTATTGAGAAACTAGAAGAAAATTGCATTCTATGTTTAGATATGGTATCGAGTCAACATGCGATTTTTTTGATGTTTCATTGTTCTCAAATATGTTTGAAATATCTTTTTGGTTGAACAAGTTATGTTGCATATATATTTTAGCTGATGTGCCTGATGAAACACATTGATCTGTGAAACATTGTACTTTATAATCCTTTATGTAAATACAAGTGCCTAATATAATAATATTATGTACTAATTGTTTGTACTGTGTACTGTAAGTGCTGATAAGGAAATGGCTAATTAAACTACTGCAAAATTGATCATTCATTTGTGTTCTTGAAACTAAATTGGAAATGCACTTTCATATTTTTATGTTGCTTTTGTAAATTTCAGAGGATATTTTTTATCTTATTGGTAATTGAATCACAAGTTTCTGTTCTTACTTTAATTAGTTAAGAATGTTAATGTGGAAAGAATTTGATAACAAATGCATTTAAAAAATGTTTGAATGTATGGAAGTTGATATTATAAACATTTAGTAAAGTGAACATCGGTATTCATTCAAGTGTTATTAACTGCATTCAAATTTTTAATGTACTTGTTTTATGTAACATACTTATGCCTTGTTTAAATGTTACATGTACGATTCTACTATCCTGTATCGAGTATCGATGCCACACAGCTGACCTGCTGTACGACTCAGCTGATTCTCTTCAACAAACTGTAAGTGCAAAAACCTCATTAAGAAGTGCATTTATTCAGAGAATTAGCTTGCTTGCAAAGGTATTACAAGCTCTGACTTGCACCTCCATTTCAAATTTTCTTGCAGAAAATGAGCCACTCACT